TACTGAGACAGACACTACTGAAACTGTCACTACTGAAACAGACACTACTGAAACAGACACTACTGACACTGTCACTACTGAAACAGACACTACTGAAACAGTCACTACTGAAACAGTCACTACTGAGACAGACACTACTGAGACAGACACTACTGAAACAGACACTGCTGAAACAGTCACTACTGAAACAGACGCTACTGAAACAGACGCTACTGAAACAGACACTACTGAAACAGACACTACTGAAACATATGTTAAAGTTTGGGTAGTTATGATTGTTTTGAAATATGCAGTCATTAGTTTTAATAACAATGATAATTAAGGTTTAGAGTCACTCCGAGCGAAAGGGTTTTAGTCTGAACTCAGGGTGGATCCTGGGTGAACAAAGCCCATTTACAGCCCCGTGATTTGGCTCTAGAATGGAACGAGCTGTGTTCCCTCTATTTGGGGGCTCATGGATAATCTGATGAGCTTGTTTTGAGAATCTTCCATTCCACCTTAAATGGTGCCACAGGTTACATTTTGGCAGCATTTAAGGGGGAACGGAACATTTGATTAGAAAGCTGTGAGCAGGAAGGCTGGATTAAAGATGATCATCAGACGCTGACAGTTCGGTCAGGTGCTGCATTTCTGCGCATAGTCTGGTATTTTCATAGCTGCTGTTCTGTTGTCGTTGTTCCGCTGGGCTAGAACGTGGACTGGTTTATGTAAATTTTGGGGGTGTAAATATTAATGAGTCAGGACTGTTACAGTTCAGGGATTTGGAATCGGCCTGTTTTACTGCCTCTTTCACAAAGGCAGGATGTGTATCTGAAGGAGCGACAGCAGTGTTTGAGGTTCTCGGTGTGTCAGTTCTAGATACTGAACTCTCCTTATTCAGCTACACCAACACACGTACAGCTCTACATTCTATGGGACCTTTAAATTTTGTTTGGAAACAAAAGGGTTAAAATGTTGCAATGAAAAATGATCCAGTCGTGGTATCTATGTAGACCCAATCGAGCTGTTAGGAATGGAAAACAGCAGCGGCAGCTCAGTGCAGGACTCTTTACTGGAAGAGTCGCTGTAAAACTGATACATACAAGCTCAGATATGTAGTAATGTTTGCTTCAAACTCCAGATGAACTGGAAGTTCTAAATGGACTTTAAACATGTCACTGTCATAGGATGAAACCTCTGCCACAGGTCAGTTTGTGAAGTGTCTGTTCTGCTAGATCTGCCCCAGACAACTGTAAGTGCTATTATTGTGAAATGGAAGCATCTAAGAGCCACAACAGCTCAGCCACGAAGTGGTAGACCACCCAAACTCACAGAGTGGGCCACCAAGTGCTGAAGAGCACAGTGTTTATCCTCTGTTGAATCATCACTAAAGAGTTCCAAACTGCCTCTGGAAGCAACATCAGCTAAAGATGTGAGCATTGTGCCAGCTGTAGAGTTTGGTGGAGGAGGGATGATGATATGGGGCTGTTTTTCAGGGGTTGGTCTAGAACCCTTAGTTCCAGTGAAGGGGAACCTGAACGCTTCAGCACCAAGACATTTTGGACAGTTGTACACTTCCAACTTTGTGGAACAGTTTGGGGAAGAACCTTTCCTGTTCCAGCATGACTGAGCCCCAGAGCACAAAGCAGCTCCATAAAGGCCTGACTGGGTGAGTTCAGTGTGGAAGAACTTGACTGACCCTCACAGAGCCCTGACCTCAACCCCATCCAACACCTTTGGGATGAACTAGAATGAAGATTGTGAGCCAGACCCTCTCGTCCAACATCAGTGTCTGACCTCACAAATGCTCTTCTGGATGAATGGGCAGAAATTCACACAGACTCTCCAACATCTTGTAGAAGCTTCCCAGAAGAGTGGAAGCTGTTAGAGCTGCAAAGGGGGACCAACTCCATATTAATGCCTGTGGATTTAGACTGGGATTCATAAAAGCTCCTGTAGGTGTGATGTGAAGGTGTCCCAATACTTTTGTCCATGCAGTGATGACCAAAAGCATTTATCATGTTCAGCAGCACCATCGTACTACTGGAATCCCATAGGAGCGCAAGCAGAAATTAGTTTATGAACAGATTATGGCCAGATTTTGACCTGAACTGAAGGCCAAGCTCTAATCGTCATAGTTGGCCCAATTTCAAGTCTGTTATGTCCAAAATGTGTTTTGAAGCCTGACCTTAAACCACCGTGGTAGAGCGAGTGCGTTCGGTCGTCTCGTTCTCCTCTGGTTCTTTTGTGTGTTGTTTGCAGTCTGAGTGCAGGCAGGTGAGATATTCTAATTACAGTTTATTCGTAAATGTGACGAGTGCAATAAGAAGAGCAAATAATCAACAATAACAAGCGTGTGGGAGTCGCCGCTTCATTAAAGCGAGTCTGCAGAACAGCCGCGGAAATCAGATTAAACAGTGACGCTGCAGACGCCGCTGACATTTACAGACAGACCGCACTGTTTACTCGGAGATTCCGCTATGGAATCTGAATAAATCTGAATAAATCTGACTCCATCTGTCAGAAAGGCACTCCACACTGACCCTCAGCCTGGTCAGCGTACACACTGGCACAGCTTCATTAAGCTCAGCGTCAGTGTTTCCGCTCCGCAGCGCTAACAGTGCGGTCAGCGAATCACAGCGCAGCTAATAAAGAGAAGAATGCACTAATGAAAACGTCCTGTCTGATTTTCCTCCAGCTGTTCCTAATCAAACCTCTTTAATGCTTTAATTACATCATTATATAATTACATCATCTGTAACTGCTGCCCATCAGCGCTCGTTCATTCATTAGACATGATTATAAAGAAATATCGTTTTACTCAATGCAAATCAGCTCAAATACTCTACAAACTCTCTTAGCATCAGGGCTGTCAGATCGTTCAAATTATTAATCAGTCTCATTTGTCTTCGCTCAACTGTGTACATTAATAAAGCAGTGTATGTTACAGCTGTATCTGAGCAACAGTGTCAGCATGTTCATATATATCATATATACAGTCTGTTAGTGTATATATCTTATATAGCATATATAGTCAATAAGTGCCTATATCATATTTACCCTATATCTAGTTAATGAGTTTTTATGTCACATATATACAGTCAGTAAGCGAACGTATCAAATGTATCACACATACAGCCTATGAGTGTGTATATATAACTTATGCCATATATATATATATATATATATATATATATTATATATATATATATATATATATATTAAATACTGTGTCCACTCACTGTCCACTCTATTAGACACTCCTACCTTGTCAGTCCACCTTGTAGATGTAAAGTCAGAGCCGATAGCTCATCTGCTGCTGCACAGTTTGTGTTGGTCATCCTCTAGTCCTTCATCAGTGGTCACAGGACGCTGCCCACAGGACGCTGTTGGCTGGATATTTTTGGTTGGTGGACTATTCTCAGTCCAGCAGTGACACTGAGCTGTCACCTATATAGTAAGTGGAGCTGATAAAATGGACAGTAAGCGTAAAAACAAGGAGGTGGTCAGAATGTTATGCCTGATCGGTGTGTGTGTGTATATATATATATATATATATATATATATATATATGTGTGTGTGTATGTATATGTATATATGTGTATATACATATATATATATATATACATATATATATATATATATATATATATATATATGTGCACAGCGAATGAGGATGTATATCTCATTTACAGTCATTGAGCATGTAGTCCTATAGAATCTTGGTATGGATCTTGTCTTCTGTAAGGTGATATTGTGTACCCTGAATGCTGCATTTATTTTTATTTGGTTGGGCATCCAGCAGTGCAGCACCACATAATGCATTATAAAGGAGTCATCTGTTGACCCTGATGGAATTTTGGAGCATATCAAAAATAGATATATCAGAAACATGTGTGGTAATCTTACAGGAGTTTATTTGCACCTCTCACATGTAGCCCTGATTTTGGACAATCTAGCTTTACACCAGTGCAGGCGCTGTGCTACTATGCAGCGTATAACAGCAGGTCGCTGACAGATGGAGGACGAGCTCATTCTTCAAAGCACTTTGTGCCACATTTCTTCAGGAAGTCTAAGTCCTCTTCCCACCTGCTCTTAAGATCATCCAAAGCTGTCCAATGATGTGAAATGAGAAGCTCATATATCCACCTGTGATCTGCTGAACGTCTGTCCTGAGTGTGAAAATAGAGTCTAAGGCTGTGGGAGGATGTAGAGAGCAGTTGATCTGATCTGCACTCATAGGGATCTAAAAAATGTGATCTAGGAAAACTTAACTTCTTCACCAGTTGTTCAAAGGATGCAAAATAAAATTAAATGTTTAATGTCAAAAGTTTGTTGTGATTGTTTAAGAATTTTGCTCAGTGTTTAATTTTGTATGTGTCATGTTACAGTTCTGATTTACTGTAATTCCAAAATGTGTAAAATGTTTATGAGTGCGAGTGTCCAGACTAGCCTGGCATGAAGATCCTGCTGTGTGATTGTGTTTCTTGAAGAGCGGAGTGATTAGGTGCCGCTGGGTTACTGCAGTGAAATAATTGGATTTTTATAACTCTACAGAAATAAATAGAGTATTTTTCTGTAATGCTAATCCAGGTAGATTTAGGCCCAATATATGCATTTTATGAGTGTTTATGAATCAGTCAGAAACTATTGTATACTGGCCCTCAGTTCCTGTATCGGTTTAACTGGAGCTGTTGAAGCTGTTAATATGTGTGTGGCGCAGTGATGACTAGCGTTATTCTCGCTGAGGTGCTATCGGTGCTCAGACTGCAGATGATGTAGTGATTTATCATGGATAGATGTGACAGAAATCCTCCAGTGAGCTTCCTCGGTTTCACTGAGTCAGAGCTGTGGGGTCTGAGGAGAACGGGGCTGTTTTGATTCTTTTTGAAGTGAAATATTATTCCTGTGTCTCCTCCCCTCCAGCTTTGCCATTCATTCTCCCTCCGAGCCTCATCCATCTCTCTGAGCAGCGCTCGTTCTCCTCAAAATCACTTTTATTTCTTTTTTCTTTTTTGCAGAGCTCAGCTCGGAGAATGTGAGGACGTGTTTCCAGATCATCAACGCCTACACTTACCTCTCAGCCACGGAGTTTCTACAGGTGAGAAAA